GGGCTGAACGATTAATCGATTTTAAATCGAAATTGCGATTTTAAATGATGCGATTATCAAATCGCAAAGCCTGCGATTTAAAAAAAAAATGTTCTTCTTGTGTGTCAGTCATCCACACCAATCAGAAGTGCTGTACTCCACATGTACCAGCCATTGTTAATCAATCAGAAGTAGCCCATGATAGAAGGTGATAGACAGATTGATCCAATCACCTGCCAAGTGCTTTTGAAAGTGCCTGCCCTTTCCAAATGGCTTCCAATGGAGCTTTCCTAGATGGTTTCTGAGTCAGGTTAGTAATGCTCCATCACATGTTTCTATTACAGGGTGAATCTTAAACTGAAGCTTGACTTTAAAGCAACCCAACGGAAGTTTCATGTAAGTTTAGTTCTTTCACTCGTAGCTCGGGCTGCGGGGGTGCTAGAGACGGGAGCACCTTGATGCGACCTTCCTAGCCGGAGTTATGGCCACATTTTACAATAAACTTACGTTGGGTCGCTTAAAAACAAATATCGCGATTCGAATCGCAATATTTGTCAGAAAAATCGCAATTGGATTTTTTTCCCCCAAAATCATGCAGCCCTATGCGATATTGCGCTCACAACAATGGGAAATGCAGACAAACAACCAAAAAACGAAACCCTCCTGGCTTATGACTTGCCGACATAGTGCACTAAGCATATTATATAGGTGCGATTCATTACTTGTAGGTGTCTTCCTGGATATCAATGAGGTCGTAAGCCATGGCCTGGTAGGTCAGCTCATGCAGGATGGGGCTGACGGGGTCAAAACCTCTCTCCACTATCAGCAGCTGGGCCTGGGTCTTTCCCTTTTGAAGGAGGGAAATACACAGAAACAGTTTTAAAATAATAATGCATTTTTTGTATTATTAAAACACTGGTTGCTGTCTTTCGTTTGGCCCTTTCTCTCTCTCTCTTTCTTTTATACTGCTTTTTCCCTCCTCAAATGTATTATGAAGAGCAACCATTTTCAAATCTGCTCAAGGCAAAGGAGGGAGTTTTATTTCCAAGCAGTCAGTGAAAAATAATACCTTATTTTCAGGTTCACATTCACTCCCAAGGCTAGGATTGTGTTTCACTCTTCACTCTTTTATCAGAAGGGGTATCACCTTTTTCTTGCCGCTGTCATCCAGCTCGTAGTGTTTGGCCAGTTTGTCGTCCACCAGCTCTGCGAGGGTCTTGGCGTTCTCCATGTTGGCGTCTCTGGTTAAATGATACATTTATTGACATGAGTTATCACAGATAGGTTAGTACACACCAATGTTGCACTGATACGAATATGAATGAGAATACTAGTTAAAGCAACGTATGCAGGGTCACCCTTTTTTTTTCTAGTTTGTTTTCTTTGGTCTGACTATCGCATTTACATATATGTTTGGTTTTAAAGTTGGAATAATAAAGTGGTTTCAAAAACACAAAGTGCTTCTGTTTGGATTTACATTTAATTTGTGCTAAAATAGGGCAAATGAAGGTGACGTTTGCCGTGTTATTTAGTTCCGTAACGTATTCTATAACTCGATTCCAGCTTTTCTCATAAAAGGTCTCAGTCGGCTCGGGGCTGAGGTGTGTTATCAAGGCTGAGAAACCGAATCTTCTCTGGCTTACTTCTTGTATCGGACTCCTGGGTATTCGTCCAGCGTGGCACACAGCGAGACGAGCTGGTCTGCCATGGTCTCCAGTGTGTTCATTTTGTCCTGGCTGTTGGGACTGTAGATGCTTTGGAAAGCCCCTGGATTATCACATGTGAACACCTGCAAAGCATTTAACACGACAGAGTTCAAACTAAATATTGTTTAGACTGAATTGGGACCGTTTCAACACAACTTGAATATGCATTGTAAAAATAGAAATCAATTGAGGACAAGTTAAGACCTTTTTGCAAAACCATTTCCCAAGTCAGTGACGTAACAGTTTGTGCAATAATTACATCATATCTGAAAGCAGCCAACATCCACTGGGTTCACACTAAACACGGCAAACAAACTCAGTTTTTCTACTGTCAGCAAGTTACCGTCTATAAAAGAGGAAATAGAGCACTGCGGAATAAAAAGCTTAAGGAATACACCCAGCAATGACTCACTTGGGCCTCCTGTGGCATGAAAGACATGTTTATCTCCTTACACACTCGTATGTACTTTGCACAGTACAGCTTCATGTTGTTGAACAGCTCATCGGGACAATCTGTTGGAAAACATTTGAAGTATACGTTATCTGTTTAAAAAAAGAAAATCAAAACATTGTGTCTGGTTTTTCAATTGTATATTGTGAAAGTGGTGATTCAGTTTACTTACAATCGGTGAAATAAACATATGCGGCTTTATATTTAGGTTTGGTCTTGAAGTCAGCAATGAAGGCATCAACACACTATAAAAGGAAATAAAATGTTAAGATTTAACAAAATATACCAAAATGAAAACGTGATTTGAATTGCAATGTTAACAGGGGTTGCAGGGTTATGATGGCAAACCTTAGCGGTTGGTGAAATGAAGTAGATGGCCTTCATTTCTGGAACAGGCTCTCTGCTCTTGAACAGGTCTTCCACAACTAAAGAAACACAATGTTTATTTCAACAGAGTAGCTACAGACATCCAGGTAGAAACTGCAGGTAGATTGGTCTATAACTGATATGATATGAAAATCAGTGTTTAACTGTTAAGTACCTACTTGTTATTTTCTCTGACATCAGATCGGACATTTTGCAGCATGATGAGAGCAGCTTGGTGGTGAAGGGGTCCAGAATCAATATCTGTGAGGAACAAAGATTCATAGTGGTAGGTCAAATTATTTCTCATAATGTTAAATGTTGCTGGAAATTATAATTAAATGTAATTAAGTGGAGTCAATACAAATCTTAATCAGAATACCTTTATTAGTCCCACGGAGGGGAAATGTGCGTAGTTACAGCAGGAAAAAGAGCCACAGACAGCTTAATGTTACATATGTTAAATATGTGACATGCATTAAAAAAAGTGCTAAGTTATGATATTAGCAGCCAGGTATGTATTACAGTTATTAACGGCATCTATAAAGGACTGGCTTATCTAAAGCCAGTTGAGTAGCACTTGAAATGTTTTGGCTCTATGAAACCTGATGTACTTATATGATTCTGTTTTCTTCAAGGTTGTATCTTCTTGGTCGAACGCACTTATTGTAAGTCGCTTTGGATAAAAGCGTCAGCTAAATGTAATGTAATGTATATATATTGCACATCTAGCACATAGGTGGTTGGTATTTAACAGCAGCAAGTTACACAATTTACAAAATACACACGTTGTAACAGTTCTAAGGATTAATATTGTATTGAGCACATGGAGGCTTGTCCTACCTTCCATACTTCAGAATTCCTGCAGTCTGTAATAATTGTGTCTTTTATTTCTGTAAGAACATGAAAAACAACAAAGAATATGACTGAATGTACAGATTGACAAGAACATTTGTATTACACTCTCTGGCGTATGAAATAAAATAAAGACATTTTAAGTGTATGTCTGTTAATTTAACTACACATTAAAAAAAATCAAATTAAACTATAAAAAACTAAACTATACTGCATTACCCTAATTTAGTCTCAAATGTTCTGTTTTTGCTCAATCCTTTTTGGTTAAAGATTTTAGTTCTGGAGGAAGTGTGGGAAAACCGAAAACCAACCACAAACTCATCTTTTGGGATTGTGTTTTCCAAATAATTAAAATACCCTCTTAGATTCATTGCCGTTATCGCTAGGGATCTGTTCCTGAATAATAAATACTTGGCAAAGATCAGAGGTACTGCACTTTTTTCTTTTTGCAAAATAAGTACTAGCTGCAAACTGAAGGATGGTAAACCACCAACACTACTCAGTGGCTGCAGAGACTGACGCTGGTTTACATAATGGAACAGATGCCTGCAAGGCTGCACCTGGAAACAGAGGTAGACTCGAGTTACACTGGAGAGTAGGCGTTTTCCAAGAGATGAGTTGTTGTGATTAAACTGTGGTACCTGCCAAATCTATATGGAAAACGTTATGATGATAAACATTTAGTCAGTCGTACTTAACTGTAGAAATGTGGGACATATGTATCATGCATCCTTAATCGGTGACTATTGTTAAACTTTAAAATAATATTTATTAAGAAAAGGAAGAAAAACACATCTGCCATGGTGGCAGGTGGGCTCAATTTGTAAACATTTATTTCAATGTTCCATGTCAGGAAATGACCTGTTATGTTGAAAATAAGAGGAAAGATATGTAGCTAGGTCCTTTTTATATTGGAGTGAATACGGTTTAGCTAAATGTAACTGTGAGCAGCCTAAATTAATGTTACGTTATGGTTTCCCTTGGTTAATTTCCACACAATGGCTGCCCGGCAGGAAACAAAAACGTTTTTTTTGCAGGAATGAAAACATACTTCTTCGACACAAGAAATGTTTGACAAATTAACGTTTAGGATGTCCAAGTTAAGCTTAGCTAAACGTATTTCAGCTACTTGTGTTGACGTTGGTTAGCCTGTTGAGGTGGGGCTCAGCCACAGAAAGTGACCTCACACCGACTGCACTCTCCAAAAGGGGGATACATGAGTCGATGTCAGGCATGACAAACACATGAGCCAAGCGTTAACCCAAGTGAAGTCTGATGTTATTAAAAATGCAAGTTGTACGTTGAACTTCCGTAGCGATAAACAGCAGGATGAAGTTTCAGAGTCACAACGGAAGAAACAGTGAGTAAAAACAGAACATATGTAGTAGTCCTTTGAGTTGTGAAAACGAATGGTTACTCTGTTTCAAATATAGCACAATAAACAACTTCCAGTTGGGGTGCACTTACTTTTCCAAACTATTCTTTTCAGCCCGTGATCTGAGCCCGATGCCATCTTGTTTCTTTTTTATTCCTCTGCGCCTCTTCCTGCCTATCTTCCTGTCCTCGTACTCTGACGTCATACGCGTCGTTAAGTGTGCGACGGGGCGCAGCTGTAGTTTGACAGGAAGAAGCGTGGATAGAAGAGGGGATTTTAAAGCCCTAAAATAGAGGAATATATCCGTATATCGATTCGTGAGGTGGACCGCAGTGATGCAGTGCGACTGGCCTCTGTTGGGTCCGCTGCAGTGGATGCGTTACGTCAACAAACAGGTGAAGGTGAAGGCGGGAAAAGATGAGGAGCGCCGCGGCTGGCTGCTCACCGTGGACCCGGTGTCCGCCAGTCTGGTCCTGGTGGACTTCAAGGAGGATGGGGGTGCTTCTGTGCAGGTGGTGATGGGCCATGCTGTGGAGGAGGTGGAGGTGCTGCAGGAGGCCGATGAGGAGACCACACAGCGCCTCCAGAGCTCCTTCCTCCCCGCGAAGACCCGCAGGCTGGATCCGGAGGAGCAGAGGAAGAGAAGAGCTGGCGTCCGGAGCTGGCTGGAGAAGAACCGGATCCCGGTGGAGGAGGAGGGGGATGAGCTGAGGGTGGCCGGGGTCCTGACCATCACGCCCCCGTACGGACCTGAAGATTGCTGCAGCTCCAACCAGATCATCCTAGACCGCATCCAGAAACTGATCCAGAGTGTGTTTCAGATACAGCCAGATCACACAGAAACTGATCCAGACTGTCCCTCAACTATGGAAGTATAAAGAAACCCCTGAACAACAGACAGACACAAACCAGAACTGGAAACTTAATTTAAAACTGTCAGAAAGGTTACATATTGTATATGTACAATCTATGATTAACACTACCAATCAGATTCCTGCTCTCTGTCTCTCTACCAATCAGAGGGAGCAGCAGATGTGACTGACAGTTGGTCTGAATCCAGTTTGAGTTCAGATTACATTTTTGTTCACATTAAATTATTTTATTAGTTGGGATTACGTTTTTTTTGTTTAGGTTAAGTTATTTTCTCTTGTTTTCAGTTTAAGTTTTGTGTTCTCATTTTGGTTTGTGTTACAAAATAAAAGTATTTCCTTTGTATGATACAGGAGACCGTTTGAAATGTTTTATACCAAATTAATATTCATGTTTACTATACTTTGATCATTTTTCTTCTTTCATTAGATCTATTCAATCTGATATCAGATGTCAGATATCCAGTCCTTGATAAAACAGATAAAAACATCTGCTCAGTTTCCAAGAGTCACACAGGTTTTCAGGTAATTTAAAATTAAAATATTGATATAAAATTGGAAACAATGAATCCATATCCAAGTTGACTAATTGATAGATTAACTAATTGCTTGAGCTCTATTTGACAGTTTGTAATACTGTTTACATGTCTCCTTAAGTCTGGAAGAGGTGTGAAAATGTGTTTATAATAACTGAACATATACAATTTCTTTTTTGACAATAGCAGTAGGCCAATGGAGCTTTGGCAATGCAGTTACAAGTTGTGTCCATTGATTCTTGATTTTAAACTTGTTTATTCAAACTCATACCTTTTTAGAATTATTGGTATGGAGGAGTATTAGGGCCAGAACAACTAGAGTAGAACGTTTTTTAATTTTAAAAATAAAGTTTAAATGTCTGTATTCTCGATATTCTTACTTTATTATTAACATTTCCACTAAAAGTGCAAAATATATTTAAAGCTGCAGCAGCAATGTGATTTGTTTACCATGTCTGTTAATTATGTTTGGAAACAATGTTTGGCTCCGCAAACGCAATTCTTTAGAATTTTTTTTTATTATTTTGTTTTCTAAAGAATAAGGTGCCTTGGATGTTGTTGTGACTGGACCCTAAACATCTTCTTTATCATTTTCCCCCTCTATGTATCGAACTAAAACTCTTCTGTGGGACTCACATTTTATAAAAAATAATTTTTTTATTGAATGTTACAAAACAAAAATGACCATGTTCACGTCTTAAAGTCATCCTGAGGCCTTAGTTTTGGTTTAAAATTACACAACATCATGTATGTGCATGCCCGGCGCCGTGGGAGGGCCAGGCCCTCCCATTTGACATTCCTGCCCTCCCCCAATAAACACGTTTTTTATTATTTATAAAAATTAAAAAATATATATATTTTATTTTTTTAATTATAAATAAACTGTGAACTTTTATGCTACGATGTATGTGATGTCAGAACAAAAACAAAAAATCGCAGGCTACGTCAAATAAATGCATGTGTCTGTTGTGATTTGTGATTCGTCCCCATTTAGACCAATCACAGCGTCCCACTCTGCCGCCTATTCTGGATTTGTTTATTGTGCATTCTGTAGACTCCCATTTCTGTTTGAATTACAAAATGGACATCATAAATTGGCTTAAAAGGTCTAAGGATTTATTAAAACGAAATAGCGATGAAAGAACTGCAGCCGATGGTGCTGCTGGCGACCCTGTACCTGCCGTTGCAGCAGCACGCCTTAATGTCACAAGCTTGACCTCGGCAAACCCCGGGGCTGAGTTAGCGATGATCTTGGGGTTAATAAACCCAACCAGGTGAAACTGGATCATTATCCAGGGAGATTGTTTTCAGGAAAGAAGCGCACTTTTGCCGCTGCATGGTACACAACAGACCATGGCTTGAATATTCGTTCAAAGCAGACGCAGCCTTTTGTTTCCCCTGTAGACAGTTTAAAGTCAAAACGTCTTCATCTGATGCGGCTTTTACTGTCAAAGGTTTTGGCGACTGGAAACACGTATTACAGACTGATAAACGACTGCTAAGGCATGCCGCATCAAAAGAACACATTTCATGTGAGTTTGTGGAGAGAGAGACAGATACGCGAGGAAACAAATAAGGAAATTAGTACTTTGGTGCAGATCAGCTGGCACGGAGCCGTTATTACGTGTCAGCTGTCGTTGATATTATAGCTTTTTTAGCTGTCAACCAACTCCCTCTCAGAGGTGACTCGATTCACTCCACAGCATGTCCGAGGGCAGTGCATACATAAACCATGCCCAAGGCGGGCTAAACAGTTCATCGTCTCCGTCTCTACTATTTCTCTCCGAGTGCAGCGATGAGGAAGCTGCCATCCGTAACCAGTGTGCCTTGCTCATGATTTACCAGTGTCTGTGCTGCCACGCACACAATGTTTCAAAGTGGTTGCTATGTTGCCCTTTATTTGTGTATGTTTGCGATAAGTGTGCGTCTTTACGCAATGCTGTTGGCCTTGCTGTTTGATATATATTGTGCCGCAGTGTAAGAGAATATTTTAATCTGATCTGTTTATAGAGTTTCCTATAGTTTCTTAGATTCTGTGATACTGCAAACATGTGTTTGACTTATCAGTCAAAGACTCCTCTGTAAGTTGAGGTCACAGGTCAAACGCTTCTCCCATATCCTGTGGGGGGAAGGTTTCAGGCTTGTCTGCGTTTCCTTGAGACAAATAGTTTATTGTCTCCCATTTGCTATTGATTAGGTAAACGCGGGCTTCTGTGAGCCCGCCTCTCCTCATGTTGATGCGTGTTGGGTCTATTCTGGGGCAGAGATCATGATGGTGGAGCACGGGACGGTGTGAAACTAAGTGATCTCCCCGGCCGTATTAATGTACTGTGTTCAATAAAACTCTCAGTGCTTTGGCTAATGACGTTCCAGATTCCTTCATTCTACCTCAACATTGCAACAACAGAAGTTTATCTTCACAATTTGCGTCACGAACAGGATACCGAGATTTCTTCAGAAGACTGGTAAGTGCTTTTTTTCAAATCTATTTGAACAACTGCCTTACCAGACTCTGTGATTGACGGTATCAAAATTACCTGTGAAACTGCGCGAGTGCAATTTGTTTTGGTTTCTCCACTCTGTACATTTGAAGGCTTAATCATAACCTGAGAAATCGGTGTCTAGGGGATTCTATCCTGGCCGGTTTTTCCTGTGATTGCTGCTGGGGCAAGTGCCAACAAAAGCAAGCACAGCTCATGTATAAAACAATAAGAATATTTGGGGCTAATAAATAACCTCGGAATATCGACTTTTAACGATTTCCGCTGTGTGTGGTTTCTAGAATTAAATTACTGGACAATCACACACTGCAAATATTCGGAGAGACCTTAAGGAAAGCATCAGCAAGGTGGAACCTCTGTTTCAAAAAGCAATGTGAGGATTTGTAATTGAAACAAATTGCCGAATTCTGGAGATTTTCAACGGGTTAAATCAGACCAATCCGTTTTCGGGTGTCTGCTCAGTCTGCAGGAGGGAGGGCGAATTCCCCTCCCCCCTGTGGTGAACGGCACACGAGTAATGTTTAAGAACACAGACTTGTATTTTTGCTAATCACACCATGAGCTCAAGAACTAAATTTAGCTATTAAATGGGAAGGGTGGTGGCAGAATATTACATTCACACTGTTTAATAAACTAACGGATTATTTAATTGGATGTTGTTTAAAAAAACAAAACAAAAAATAAAAAAAGTACTGAATTAATTAAAAATCTCTGCTCTCGGTCGGTTGAGCAGTTTTACCACTACATTTGCATAGTGGTTTTGATTGAGAATAAGGTAGTTTATTGCTCATCAACAGATTACTAGTAAATATGGCTGAGAAGAGCCCATATTAAACAGATATTTCAGTGCTCCCGTTGAGGTTTCCGTAATTTCGGACTAAATTAAACTGGATGATTTTTTGGCCAGGGCGCTGATTTGTTGCGGGTTCATGTTTGTTTGTATAATTGTTTCGTGTTTGTTTGTCTACCCGCCGTCTTGTGCATGCTTTGTAACAACTAATAATGAATCAGTCCACAGCCAAGGTAAAATGAACTAAACTTTAGTTATCTCACCAAAAGTAAATTACTTGAGAAAAAATGCATGATGTAGGGATGTAGAGCAAAATTATACATTGTAATCTAAATTTCGGCAAAAGGAAAATAAATAGCAAAAGGCGTCTTACACCCGGGAACCTCAGAGGCATCACTGCGGGTCATCTGTCTGCTCAAATAGGTCAATGTTGTATTATTTGTTTAATTTATTATTAATCTATGTATTGTATGGTAATAATGAAAATAAAAAAACCTAATGTATTGAACACATTCCGAAACAAAGCAGATAAGACAAGACTCAGACATAATGGTGATTGAACTTTTTTTGCACGGTTGCTGCAAAATGAAAACTTTGTCATTATCTGTTTCCAACTGGCCACTGGAATTGGAAAATTGATATAAGTTGAAGTTCAATTACAGTTTTAAATATAGTTCAACATTCTTTATTAAACTGTTTCAAATTATTTCTAGTCAAAATCCCCTCCCTTTTCTTTACTCTGCTTGGTGCTGCAGAAGAAAAAAATAAAATAAAACGCAAGACACGGGGTCAGAGACAGGCGTGACCTCTGGAAGGAAAAGATCATCTGAAGCAGACCACAGCACGGTGCGTTGGGGGTTTTATGAGCCTGAGCACAAAGGAATATCTAATTTCTGACCTCTGGAAGGAAAAGATCATCTGAAGCAGACCACAGCACGGTGCGTTGGGGGTTTTATGAGCCTGAGCACAAAGGAATATCTAATTTCAGCACTCTTTCTATCTGTATAGCCACTGGTGTAAAGAAACTAAGTTCATAAACTCAACAAGTACTATACTTGGGCACAATTTTGAGATACTGGTACTTTATTTGAGTATTTAAATGTTTTGCTACTTTATTCTTCTGCTCCACTACAGTTCAGTGGTACATGGTGTATTTCTGCTCCACTACATGTATTTAATACCTTTTAGTTACTTTCAGATGTGGATGAATGATGTGAAATCTAAGTGTTGAATCAGACTTTAGTTCCACCTGGAGTAAATCCACCAGCTACCCTGCAGTATACAAAGTCATTCAAACTAGCTGCACCTTTACCAGCTTTGAGAACACTTTCATGATCAATCATTATAAAACATATCATATATATTATTCTGAAATAAACCAATCTGCACAGTGACTACTTTTACTGTCGCTATTTTCACTATATTTTGATGACAATACTTTTATACTTTTACTTGAGTAACATTTTGAATGCAGTACTTTTACTGTAACTTAGTATTCCTACACTCTGGTACTTCTACTTGTACTCAAGAACAAGATCTGAGTACCTAAGCTAACGTTAGCCAGAAACCTTCCATTTTGACACACATAACAATGGGGTAATGTAAAGTAATTCACACAGCCTCTTCCCGAGGAGCAGCAGGTTCAGCTTCATTTAAATATGTCGTGTAGTAATAGATGGATTTATTTTTTCCTCTAAAGAGAGAATGTGTATTTTATGTTAGTATTTCAAAAAATCTCCTGGGGGAGAATCCCCCCAGACCCCAAGCGGCGGTTGGGTTTTCAGCATGTCAACACTTTCACTTGTGAGGAAATGGCAGGATTGGCTCCAGGTCGCCCTTTTTATTTACTACAAGACAAATGTTTTTATTTTTATTTTTATTTCATACAGTTCAATTTGGATTGAGACAGGGAAATAATCTAAACCTCACGCGTGGCGTTTCACTCTCCAGGGGCGATATAGCGTGTATGTAATTACATTTCAAATACTGATTTGAGCCCCACCACTGTATGGGTTAGCCCTACCATAGATTATCCAACACAAATACTCGGGAGCCGATAAGTCAATTAGTTGC